TTGGAGCCCTGCGAATATCAACGACAAATAAAGACAATACTTCGAAACTGCAAATTTAGGACAGACTGTTTTTTCTGACACTCCATTCGGTTAACAGCTATAGGACTGAGCCCCTTATAATGAAACAATGTTGATGTATATTACAAAATATTATTAAGGATAAACTGTAAATGTAAACCCTTATAAGAGGTCAAGTGAGGTTTCTGTTATCAGGCATCTAATTATCAACAAGCAATTCAACTACACACCTCTGCGAATTTTTGTCCATTCGTGCTTTTCCAACCAAAAAGGGTAGGTTATAGATCAGTGCCAAGAACCAGTGTCCGCTAAAACGAAAAGAGATTATAACACGGTCAAACTAACCCTGCTAATACAGGCATTGAGGGGGCCATAAAAAGTGTCCGTATTGACGGGGTGAAGAGAAGTTGGGCTTTCTTTCCCCGGGGACAAAGCAGACTGTCCGTAATAATGAGAAGCGGGGTTTGACTGTATAGTTTAATAAAAATCAAAGAGGAGAAAGGGAGTGTAACTGGCTAAAACTTAAAACACAATAATTTACTGAGTACCCAGAACAAACACTATTTGTACATTCCTGTCAAACTCATGGGAGTCATTGCCTGTCCTCACCTGAAAATTATTACGTTCACACTTACATATGTATAATTCAGTGACTTTCCCAGATTAAATTGCTTAACTAACAGATTAGAGAAACAAAAACTGAGCATCCCCGCATCCCCGCATCCCCCACTAACTGTAAACATTAATAAATTGTAGAAAATACCTTCTACAGACAGGTATGAAGAGACACATCTCTTCCTTTAACTTCCACCCACAACCAGCAAAATAGAAGGTGTACCTGCCATCCTGTTTACCATTCTTTGCTGAAATATAAATTTAAACTTTTCTTGATATTCCATCTATTTCCTAACATGAGTAGGTATTGAAAGAGAACATATAACTGTTACAGTTACCAGTTCACAAACTGTATAAACACAAATATTGTATGCAAACAGTAGAAAAAAAATACATCAAGAGGAAAGGCCGCCTCAGCTCTTTAATCAAACTCTGGTATGCAACTTAAATATTGTCTTAAGCAGTATTACAGGCCATTAACTCAAAATACCGCTCCATATATATATAGCTATATGCATTTGTAAAGGCAACTACATCAACAAGGCTGTGTTCTTAGAAAAATGAAAGAGAGCCCATTGCTTTTAACATGTTAAATCCAGGGTGTAATCAGCAAAGAGAAAAAGTAAGGTGCCAGGATCCAATGGGTGCAAAGGTTATGTTTCCCATGGCTAACTCACTTGAGGATGCTTCTCCATGGCGATCATGGCTTGAGGCTTTTAGCCAAAGTTGGCATTGCTCCTTGTGGGAAGCCTCAAAGCCTTGCTGACTAAATTCTCTCATGGAGAGAAAACGTCTCATTAGCATGGGTGCATAGTCAATCAGAAGATGTCTGTAATCATCAGTTCCCAGGCTGCTCCCAAATAGCTCTCTTAACAAGAAACCCCATTCTTTGCACTATGTAAAAATGTTAAAAATAAGATATACATTTAAGTGGTATAAACGGTATGTTAACCTCATTTTGAAATTTGCTTGCTGAACTAACTGCAACAAAATATGTGGGGACTTGCTTGTTAAAATATACTGGGCAGATGAAAAAAGTTCTGGGCGGAAGGTGCTTGCAGAGGATGATCAATAACTGAACAAATACAAACTGTATTTTAAATAAATCTTAAAATACAAAAGGTTATAATTTACATTATTTTCTTCCTTGAACTCACTCCTGTGATTGCTACTTGATCTACTAAAAACCCTTAAAAATAGACACTGCTGATTAGTTGAACAGGTAAGTGATAAAGACGTGAGACTTATGATTAATGCAATGTTAAAAATAAACATACCTTGACATCAAATAGGTCAATCTCTTCTTGTTCTGTCTCTTTAAAAACTTTTTCACATGTCATCAGGGCAATTTCTTTCCATTCTCTGCACACCTAGAATTTAATGTTATGCAATAGGTTACATACTAAGAATGTATTAAGGCAAATAAGTCTTTCATTAAGACTCAGAGACACTCCATTTCAATTAGAAGCAATATAAATTGATGTGTTTGGCATTGATTTACAAAGAATTAACAATTTTTGGATAAGGTTGAGCAAAGTATCGAGATTTGTCTGTAGCAAGCAGATCAATTAAAATCAAACTGATCTGCAAGACACAGACAAATCACAATATTTTGTGATGACCGAGTTTAATTGATGTTTTACCATTTGATCATTGAGCTTGTTTGTTTTTTTTTTTTTCAATGTTGGACAACACTGCACATGAGCAGACCATTATTTGCAGGACACGTGTTGGAATCTCCGCCGATGAAAAGGAAGAAAAATTTGCAACGAATGATAATAATAACTATTGGATGTTAGAAAATATTATTTGGAAATGTGCAATATTGTTGAAAGCTTGTTCACGGCATAGGCAGTGTTTCAGATATTGACCGAACACATAAACAAACAAACAAAAACAAGAACTTTTGACTACACACATGCTACTAAAGCAATAAAATAACTCACAGATAACTCAAAATTGGCTTCTAATCAGTAAGATAAGTAATTACCCTTTTCACCAATTCCAGTTGTATGTTTGCAACAGAGGTCACGAGTGCATCCTCTTCTTTGAATAGTGACTTTTTGCGTGACTTGCACAACTTCTTGAAAAAGACATGTAGCTCATCCAACTTGCCTTGTCACTGAACAAGGCGAGACTCCATGTCAGCTTTAATATCTGCAAAACAGCCAAAAACTGAAATAAGACCTGAGAAAGACTGTAATGAGAGGCCCTATATGTTATCACATCATTCAAATAACTGTTGCAAGTAAACATTTTGTTTTCCTTGGGCAAATATTTTTGAGGAATCAAAAACAAAAAGCTCCTTTTGATGTGGCTAAATATCATTTAGGCAAAGTTAAACTGGAGCAAAGCTGGTCAGTGGTCTCTGCCTTTGCAGTTAATGACCTCTGTGGCAGCCCTTGGGTTTTTTGCTGGGCCTCCTTTGTGTTTGTGGCTAATGTTGCACTTGCATTGTTGCTTTGCTGCTCATCGTATCGTATTAACTTCGCAATAATTGCTCGCTGATCATCTGAGTGGCGGGCAGTATTGTAAGTATTATCATCAATAAGTATCTCCACTGAACTTTCTCAGTGTGATGGTGTCAGTTAGTGGGCTGCTTGAGGGGTGGTTCCCACTTCCAGGGTTGCCATATATACCTCCTCTCTGCTGCTTGCTTTTGGCCCCACACTAACCTTTAAGGTACCAGCTCCTAAGCTCATCATTAGCAATAAGTTTAATTTTTCTAATATTTTCCAAACTCATTGTCCAAAATTTTTTTATTTCAGCATAAAACACTCAATAAAGTCATATTATAGTATGGTAAACCTTCTTTAGCCAGTGAGAGAAAAAATCAGAACTTGTAACCAAAGAAAAAACAAAGTATTATTACTACTGTCGCTCTACAAACCTGAGCCTTCCAAATCAATTATCTCAGTATGTGTACCAAAATCTCTTACTCAGAGTTCATGCAAATTTTTGGATCCAAAATTCAAGACTTTTCCCAGACCTTTTTTCCAAAACATCAATTTATTTTTCCAGACTGAAGGTTGTCAAATAGGTGATCAATAGAGATCTTGAAAAATGCAGAAACCAAGCTTCTTTCATGATGCACTGCAAATGTACAGTAACCATGGTGCAATTATGAAACTTCTCATTCTGTGATTGAATGTCTTAGCTACAGGCGAGATCGAATTGACCACAGGGAAAAAAAATGAACTTATTAAGCACTTTTTGTAGCTACAAAAAAACTCCAGACTTGAACTATATTTCTAGACATTATCTTCAATTTCAAGACTATTTCCAGGTCTGGAAAATCAAGACTTTTCCAAGAATTTATGACTCTGTGTGAGCCCTGTTCTTTTTACAGTACATGTATTCACACTTTCAGTGATTTATAAATGTTTTAAGGCAGAATGACCTTTATAGAAGTACTGTAAAGCATTAAAAGGTTTTGACTGAATTAAAGCTACTTGATGTTTCTATCATTAGCTAAGTATTTTCCCAAATATTGGCAAAGATCAAAGTCATCTGAAACCACTGTAAAAAAAGTTGATGAACTGATGGAGCACTTTTATGTACCTCAACTTTAACAGCACAAGTTGCAGTTGCCCTATACTAATTTCTATATCATTTGAGTACTTTACCCTGATAGCATTGCAGATGAAACAGAACTCGACACTGACACCTCTACCACCTAACATGAATGAAGCATTCGTCTTCTTCACCAAAAGAAGTACCAAGGTCTTGTACTCCAGTACATCTAAGTTTGCTAACAGAAATGGGAAGGCAAAAGTTAACATGCTAAACTTTCCACAAAATTAATCTCTAATGTATCTAAAGAAAAGGGTAGTCAAATCAATTTCTGACGTACAATAATAATAAATTCCAGGTTTTATTTCTCGCTGCTGCAGTTAAATCTTGAACATGTTTTACAACATAAAAAAAACTCTTAATTTACTATAGTTTGACTACTGCTTCAATCTAGTTCTAGTCAGACTACCAATTGGGTAGGAACACAATAAATTGCTATAAATAGTATCATGAACAAGAAGTTGACTTTTAAAGCAAATTCCAAGACTAACATTGATTCTTACCCAGAAATTCAACGGTGTAATGTCTACCATCAACTATTATTCCTTGTTCCTTTAATATTTTCTTCTGGTGGTTGATATCCTCAAGAAGAATCTTGAGGTTGTCTCTGTCAACAAACAAAAACCAAAAATCTATACAGTAATTGTTATATTTAGTGCATTAAAGCCAAATTAGGGATACTGATATTGATCCAATAAGATCTCAGAGTGGATGCATGACCTGGTGATATTGTTATATTGCAACTGAGTGGGGCTTACAAAAATCTGTCATGGTGTGTTATTTAAGTTAAATGC